ACCGCATGCGAACGGAAGTGAACTCCACCAGACTGCGTGCCATACCTAAAAGAGTAATGACATATGAAATGAACCGTTTTATTTTCACAGGGCTATTAAAATCAGTGATATGCAGTTAGTCTTGAACATTGGGATACCGCGTATTCACTTATTGGTTACGCGACAAGCTCCGTGGCAATATACTTTCAAAATATATAAAATGTTTTAAAAATATCAGAGGTAAGTAAAGGCAGACGGGGAAAGCAGCAACGGCTTGGCATTTTAAGAACACGTTAGACTGTTATATTTTCATTAAACAATCCGAACAAAGAAACATTTTCAAGGAATAAACTCAGAGTTGAGCAAGTAGATATTTTAAAGTTGTCTCAATACTTCAGCTTTCGTACCTGCCTTTTGAAAAAAAATTAACTTAACTATCCTGTACATATCTCATCTCAACTTAGTACGTAGATTTCCAAAGCTACAATTGTTCAGTTTTATGAAGATTCGTTCTTTCGAGAAGTTGAAGCAGTGTACTTAAGTCTGTTTGTAGAAATAATAACAACTTCAAGATTGTTGAGCATAATTTCTACTGGACTTTTGAAAATAAGTACACACTCGCTTAAGGAAATGTTTTTTGCATCGAAATGTTAGCAAGATCGAAATTTTTCATGCTTCTTACTGTTACATGTAAAACGTGTGACCACCCACGAGGCTTGTCTGGCTATCAGTTGCAGCCTCCATTCAAATACTGCTTAAACATCATTGCCCTATAAAGCACGACAATCAAAATCGTACTCGATTTGAGGAAGCTTTTGCAAACCATTTATTTATCTAGCTAATTGCCTCGGGGATCATGTTTACTTATCTATACCGTAAGTCCTTTATAGTCATCCAACGCAACTACTATTTTTATGATCAACTAATATGCATTGCGAATGCTTATCCGCCGAAAACTGTTTACTTCCAAACGAGCGATCGTCAACATTTCGACCGTCAAAGTAAATGCGGTTTTTACATAGAAATACCAACTAGCATAAAATAGAAGCAAACTTAGACAAACAGAAACAGACTTGTACATTTTACCTTGTTTAATTATCTTGAGTTAAAAAATAAACAGTTGTTTTCACTCTGATCTAATGTTATTCAAGCGCATATACAGTGTGTTCCAAAAAAATGCATACACGCTTTGAACAATTGTAACTTGAGGTTTATTATGATTTTATTATTTCAAACATGTAAAAATATTTAGAGGTATCATTTTGTCGTCTTTCCACTGCATTTTGACAATATTTTAAATGACTGAGGAAGCGCGAAGCAACTGAACAGATTGCGCCAAAATACGAATGGAATTGTTTTGTGGTGTGCACAATTCCATTACTTCGCGTTGTCAGCAGTGTCTGGATGAAAACAGACGTCATTTTGAACACAGGCAGTAAAAAAACAATAAAATGATACTTGTAAATAGTTTTACATTTGTTAAATGATAAAATTACAATAAACACCAATTTTACAATTATTTAAAATTCGCATACATTTTTTGGGACACCTTGTATCAATCAAAGCCATTTTTTCATTGCGAAAACTATAATACGTACGTAATTATTTACTCTACTGACCGTCCAAGTAATAATTAAAAACCCATACAAGTGTGTTTCATCGACTTCATACGGCTGTCTGACACAGCTACATAGGGTTCGGCTCATTAGTAGGTTCCTACGTGTATGTTGTTATGAAAACTCCAATTTCGTCTTGGACCGTTTAACTTCCAAATAAGCTAATACAGGAACTTAAAATAAACCTTGTCAGCCTTCGTCTGCTCTTGTAGCTGATACCTGCGCTGCAAATATAGTAAATAATTCGGTGGTCTATACTGACTGCTTATTGTCAGCTTTTTGTCAACTTTTATATTTCGCAATGGTTGATGAATGTCAGCACAAATATTTGTATCACCTTTCCGACCGAAGCTGACTAGGTTTGTTCTCAAGTATTAACTCCAAGTTCGCATACTAAATTCCAAAGACATTAAACAAGAAAACGGTAGAAAGTATTGCCAACAAAGACAGGGGAAACTGTAATGACCATTTCTACCTTATTAGCCTTCATCAGCCAGCCATACCCAACTCCAAATGGTATCCTAACCGAGCCTCGAATGCGCGGCCTTTTTGATCTGAGTCAAACGCCCTAACCCGTAAGCCACAAGTCCGTTGTCTTGCCAGTGTAGGTCAGGGGATATTGACACTCGTTTATGAACGTTCACTTGACCGCTAACGGAAGTCCTCTGTCCCGCTCAGCCTTGGGCCTTGATGGAGGCCCTCTCAGCTATCTGTCTAGTATGAGCTGTTAGGGCTGTTAGGGCCGCTGTCAAGGCCGAAGGCAGAGTGGGAAAGGTGATTTCCGTTAGCGGTAAAGTGAACGCTGATCAAATAGTGAAAAAGATACTTTATATCTGTGCCCAACTTATTAGTATATACTTTGAGGTTCTCCACTTGCTTTTTGTAAAATAAACCAGTTTTTAAGTCTCGTCAGATGTTTATGCG